TTCACATCTCGCAATAAATTCTTTGACGTCTTTTATCATATTTGGCCAAAAAAGATTTCGACGAAGCTTTTCCAACGTTTTTCCGATGCCACCATGAGAACTATGAGGAGGCGCGTGTGCATTGTACAATACAGACTGTGTCAATTCTGATGGTACCCAAAGTTTCCAGCAGTTCGACTCTGACACTGAGTCTCCTTGGTAAAACTGAGTTCGCCTGTAAATGTAACGATCTACAATTTTCAAGTCTGGCAAACGGCTTTGATTCTCTGTAATTGTATCTTTTAACTTGGTATAGCTATTGGACCAGAAGTGAGGCGATTGTAGGTCGACTTCAGGCAACACAACTTCTATTTCGCTTATCTCTTCAGTCGGTAGTCGAGAAAGGGCGTCTGGGACTATGTTCAAGCTTCCTTTTCTGTGTTCTATTTCAAAATTAAAATGCTGCAGTTTTAGTGCCCATCTAGCTAGTCTGCCATTCAAGTCTGTCTGCCTCATAAGCCATTTTAAACTAGCGTGGTCCGTTATGACTTTGAACTCCAGACCCTCTACATACTCCCTAAATTTCTCTATGCTCAATACTGCAGCTAAACACTCCAATTCGGTTACACAGTATTTTTGTTGGGCTTGATTTAGCTTATAAGAAAAATATGCAATTGGCCGTTCTATGCCATCTTCGTCCAACTGGGCCAGGACTCCACCGACACCGATATTGGATGCATCGCATTGAATTATAAACGGTTTCTCAAAATTGGGTGTGACTAATAACGGTGCTGAGGTTAATCGATGTTTTACCTCTTCAAAGGCTTGTTGTGCATCCTCAGTCCATTGAAAAGACTTCACCTTCTTGGTCAGGTCTGTGAGTGGTGCTGTCAGGGATGCATAATTTTCTATAAATCGGCGATACCAACCCGCACATCCCAGAAACTTTCTGAGTTCTTTCACCGAACGAGGTGGGAGCAAATTTCTGATGGCGGAGACCTTTTCTGTATCTACCTTAATGCAACCTTTACCTATCACATAACCAAGATAACGAACTTCAGGAACACACCAGCGACATTTGTCTAAGTTCAACGTCATGCCTGCATTTCTCAACACAGTGGACATTTCTGTCAACAGTCCAAGGTGATCCTCAAATGTTTCACTAACTAACAACAAATCATCAAGATAGACAAAGACTCTATTCTTGAAATGGGGTGGAATAATCATGTCCATTAATCGACACATTGTTTGTGCAGCGTTCGTAAGTCCAAAAGGCATGACTCTGAATCTATACAAAGGATGATTTGGTACAGTGAAGGCTGTTAGATCTCTACAAGATTCTTTCAGATTTATTTGCCAAAAGGCGTGCTTCAGATCTAAAGATGAAATAAATTCTGCTTTCGGTAATCTCGATAAAATACCATTTATCTTGGGTTGTGGATAAGCATCCTTTATCGTCACTAAGTTGACCTTGCGTGAATCTAGACACATACGAAATCTGCTACCCTTTTGTACTACTGAAACGGGACTACTCCAAGAACAAGTTGGCGGTGCTACTTCTATGACTCCTAAACTAAGCATATCATCGATTTCCGCATGAATCCGTTTTTCCACAGCCGGGGATACTGAAAAATATCTCTGTTTTATTGGTTTTGCCGATTGAATGCTCTAACATGGACGTTTTCCCCAAGCCTTCCGTATTAAAATCTGGGAACAAAGCCACAACCTTTTCCATGCGTTGTTGTTGCTCGGCATTTAACGATTCTGGCAATTCAATCTCATTTACTGACAAAGTTTTCGCTAGTTTCTCCATCAGGCCAAAAGTATTCCAAAAATTCATTCCCAGATAAAGGTTTTGTTTCAAATCAGGAATTATATATAAGGTTAACAATCTGGTTTGATTCCTAAAGCTTACTTCAGTTTCAACGTAACCAAGAATGTTGTATTTTTGTCCTCCGGCTGTTTCAACTTGCGACTTGCTTGCAATATAGGGCCTATTCTTGCTTATAAATTCCTTTGCAGCTTCCCCACTAAGGCATGAAACTGATGCACCAGAATCTAATAATCCTCCATAAGTCTTACCAAATATATCTATTTCCACAAATGGTCTAATATCCTTTTTTATATCAACAATCGAATCTAGACTCAGCGATATACCCCTCATTCTATCTTTAACTTTTCTTATAAAGTTACGAAAACGAACGGTATTTCTCTTAGTTCGGACACAACTGGGTTTTTTAACTAAATCGCTACCAAATATTTTTTCTCTTATTTCTTCATAGTTTCGAAGTCTTATGTGATACGGGACTATTGGATATAATTTACCTCGAATATTTTTAGAATCTAATTATTTAGGAATTATATTGACTTTCGGACAGTAAGAAGAAGAATGCTCTTTATTTAATGTTGAGGATTTGAGCGGTAACTGCTGTTCTTGTTGCCGCTCAACCGTCGGTTTTCCTGACAGGTTTCACAATTTGGTCTTATTATATTTTCAGCTCCGCAACCTAAACAAAATATCTTCTTATCAGATTGGCAATCTGCGTGTTTATGGCCAAACCTGCGACAATTCCTGCATTGAATCTCTTCTAAGGCTCTAGTTCTTTTTAGTTCGCAAATTTCTTGCTCTCCTAGATGGTTATCTGAACGTTCTTGGTCATATTCCAATGCATTAATTTGCTTTCGTGTGTTTGCTTTCAGGTTAGCGGTGTTATACTCCTCACTAAAAGCTTCTCGTCTAAGGACTAATTTTCTCAACTGGCTAACCGAATTGACTTCTATATAGAACAACTCCTTTCTCATAAACGGTCTCAGATTTCGTTTCAGAATTTACGTTAGTTGACTCTCGCTAATAGGGTATTGTAGTCGATCTACTAAATGCATAACTCCGTTATGAAATTCATCAAAACTTTCGCTGATTTGCTGCTTGCGATCTCTTATCAATTCTCTCACGTCATCGTCAGATAGCGGTTCAAGAAAATAGGAATTCAGCGACTTACAAAGATCGGACCAGATTACTCTGTCTGCAGTGCGTCTGTATCTCCAGAACCATTCACTTGCTCGGCCACTAAAGAGAATATGAATGTGTTCGCACAACACTTCAAAGTTTCCTCGTAAGTTATCATTTGTCAAAGCTGTAATCATGTATATGAACTTCCCTACCGGCATACCATTGCGTGAGCCATTATACTGCACTTTCCAGCTACTAATCAAATTTTCTACTTTTCCCACATCGCGACTTAGATTGAAACTACCATTTCTCTCCGGTAGATTGTTACTATTTCTATATTCATTGGGTATGAAGGTGGGTACGTCTCTTTCTAGATTAAGTGACGAAGCTCTAGTAGTTCTTCTTCCCCAATCAGGTTCATTGTTATTTCCATTATCATCTGCATTGGTATGGAAGTTAGGTATTGCATCCGTTCTTCCTGCCCTGTCTGTTGTTAACTTAGAAATTTGACGAGACAGTTCCGAGATCATGGACTGAATTTGACTAATTTGCGAAGTTATTCGATGATCTACCTGTGATAATATTCTCTGCTCTAAGAAACCTACATCTTGGTTTGGGTTATCCGCAGAAGCAGAATTAGACAATACGTTACTGTTATACTCGAGATCTACTATCTCATTTGATTGCTGCGACTGTCTCTTTTTCTTCTTTTGACTATTAGTTAACAGAATCCTCTCCAAACTATTTGTTTCCAGGTTCAGATTGTGGTCGGCAACATTTTCGGAAAGAACCTCTAATAAACTGTTTCTTGTAACATTGTTTTGACATGTTGGGCCAGATCGCGACTTATCAAGCCAATTCAAAATGCATGTTCTATGGAAAATATGTTTACATCGTGTTATGAGTTTTAAATCCAATGAAATCATTGGGTGTGAACAGACTCTGCAAACCTGTTCATTATTTGTGGATGTGGTCATATCTAAACTTCGTCTTACGGCCATGGTGCACACACAAATCAATCTCTAAGAATTTTACCGAATAAATGCTCGAAAATGTCAAATTCACTCCAAAAATAAACTATACGGATCAAGGGTATTGAGATTTGGAACATACAAAGATTATGGCAATACATATCACACCATGATTTGTTCCCAAAATATACTATAAAAAAAAATTATTGTCTTCAACACGAGCTGAAGCTTCAGAAAAAAATATACCAATTGTTCCGGGCAGCAAGATTTAATGACTAGCATTCTAAATCTTAAAGATTTCCACAGACATTAATACAATTTTCTTCCACTTAGCTCCTGGCACGCATATAGACCCGATGCTCCCTCATCGTTTCGGACAGAATGGACTGTGACTTGCACCAACCATTGCAGTTTTCCAGAAAGGAAACAAAAGCAAAAATTCTATATGCTGACAATAACTGAGACACAATGTTTTGTTACGGTTGTTGTTGTATCGTGCCCCACGTTGGGCGCCACTTTTGTAATGTGTCCCGGTGTTCTGGTGTGGTAGCTTTCGAGACGCATTCCACTAACAAGACAACTTGCATAGATTTTATGGTTAGCACTGTGTGGGATCTTTCGGCTAGGGCTCGTCGGATGGGGGGGATCTTTCAGTTGTTCCAGCTAAACACATACAAGAGATTCTGGTGCTAACCTGGCCGTTAGGTGTTATACAAATCAAATCAATAGTGCCATATGCATTGCCGCACGGAGTTAGGTCTTGTAATCTCCGCGTTTACCCACCCTACCATGTTAACTCTGCTCGTCTATTTCTTGTGTTAACCCTTAACCTCTATATGTTCCTCCTTCCCAATACCCCTGTACAGTTATTCTACTCCAATTTCATGTTGATCAATCTTCAGTGTATTTTCATATTTTAACTTCACTCCAACTAACACCCATCCTCAGCATCACCTCAAATCTTCATAATATCTTATTTATCTACAGTTACAGCAACTTAATTCTAGGGGTTTCTTATATATATATAAAGAGGAGAAAAGTTTAGAAGAACAAATCAAATTATAATCAAACGGTGTTTTCTTACTTTAGTGGTAGCTTACATTTGGTTTTCCATCGCTGCAACAGGCCTGCATGCATTGATGTTTCCTAGATTAGATTATAATATACAAAATTTAAATGCAAAAAAATAATAATAATAGCAATAGTAGCTACGGTTGAATTCAGTGTGTGTGTGTGTGCGTGTCAATCATTTTCCTTGAAGAACATCCGATATGGATATGTCTGTGCCTATCCAGGCCACGACATAGAATTCCAGAGGCAACTGTATGCCCTCTGCCAAGGTCAAAATAATGTTGATCGCAAATTTCCGTTGTGCGGCAGAAGTTCGACCTCCGTTGGATAACTTTCGTCAATATTGAATTACACTGGAGAAACCGAGATCGATTGGCAAAGCTCAGACCCCTTTTGGCGAAGAAAATTTTATCAGCCACATGTCAAAGTGGGGGGTTATGTAATTACCTTTTGGGGCTTGAAACCGGGTTTATCTTTGGAGAATCACTGATTTTTCGGCTTTTCGGCACACTGATCTTAATTTTTGGGGCAGCTTGGCATGTGCACCCTACTTTCGACGATTTATAGATTTTTCCTTTTTTTTCCAGACACGTGTACATATAACCTTTTAATCTTTTCTTTTATTTTATTTCACCGTACCACCAAACTGACCTTCCACAATTTAGTTCTATGGATCGAATGATCCAGCGCTTGAGCTTTGATTTTGTCTCTTCATCCCATTCTAAAGCACAAGGGCTAGATAACCCACCAAGATAACCCAAAGCTCGCTCTCAAGTCAAAAGCTTTCGCTTTATTCCCGTTTCTTCCCTTGCATGCAGATATGCTACAGCTCTGTGCACACAAATAAGTCCATCCAAATATGGGCCGTCACACCACAGGTTATTTTTAAGCTGTTCACTTGTTCAAAATAAGCTGGAAAACGGTCATCTTTCAAGTTACGCACTTTTGTAGGTCTTTGGCATGGAACATTCCTATCTGTTGACCATCTTCTTCTAATTCATAACAGTGGTTACCAAACTTTCGAACTACAGTTGCCTTCAAGAATTTAGGAGCTAATTTTGCATTAAATGCCTTGATCTTGTTACTTTGGGCAAAGTTTCGTCTAAAGACGTGTTCGCCGACTTCGAATGTAACGTATCTTGTGCGCAAATCGTACGTTCTCTTATTGGTTTGATATGCCTTACTGATGTTTTCCATGATCTTGTTTCTAACAATTTGCAGTTTGTCTGTAGTCAAAATATTCTCGCCCTCTTTAAGCATTTCTATCCTCCTCAGCAATTCATAGTTGTCTGCGTGCGTTATCATATGATTACCAAACAACGCAAAATATGGTGAAAATCCTATTGCGGCATGATGTGAAGATCTCAAGGCGAAGGATATCTCACCGAGCTTATCGTCCCATAGCCGTTGGTCTTTCCCTAGATAAGCCCTGATACCAGATATAATTGATCTATTAAGGCGCTCTGAGGCATTAGCCTGTGGACTGTAAATTGCAGTAAACATATGCTTTATCCCATACTTCTGCATGAATGCCTGAAATATATTCGACTTGAACTGGCTTCCGTTATCAGTTACTATAACTTCAGGTATACCGAATACATGGAATATATTTGTTTTTAAGAATTCTATAATAAGGTCTGCAGTGAATTTCTTCAACGGCTTCAAAAAATGAAACTTTGTTAGGTGGTCCAAAACAACAAATACTCCTATATTTCCCTGCTTTGATCGAGGGTAAGGTCCTATGAAATCCATATAGAGCCGTTGGAATGGTCGCTCAGAGACTACAGGATTTCCCATTGGAGGCTTGAGAGTTATGTTTGGGGCTTTCACTTGTTTGCAAACTTCACATCTCGCAATAAATTCTTTGACGTCTTTTATCATATTTGGCCAAAAAAGATTTCGACGAAGCTTTTCTAACGTTTTTCCGATGCCACCATGAGAACTATGAGGAGGCGCGTGTGCATTATACAATACAGACTGTGTCAATTCTGATGGTACCCAAAGTTTCCAGCAGTTCGACTCTGACACTGAGTCTCCTTGGTAAAACTGAGTTCGCCTGTAAATGTAACGATCTACAATTTTCAAGTCTGGCAAACGGCTTTGATTCTCTGTAATTGTATCTTTTAACTTGGTATAGCTATTGGACCAGAAGTGAGGCGATTGTAGGTCGACTTCAGGCAACACAACTTCTATTTCGCTTATCTCTTCAGTCGGTAGTCGAGAAAGGGCGTCTGGGACTATGTTCAAGCTTCCTTTTCTGTGTTCTATTTCAAAATTAAAATGCTGCAGTTTTAGTGCCCATCTAGCTAGTCTGCCATTCAAGTCTGTCTGCCTCATAAGCCATTTTAAACTAGCGTGGTCCGTTATGACTTTGAACTCCAGACCCTCTACATACTCCCTAAATTTCTCTATGCTCAATACTGCAGCTAAACACTCCAATTCGGTTACACAGTATTTTTGTTGGGCTTGATTTAGCTTATAAGAAAAATTTGCAATTGGCCGTTCTATGCCATCTTCGTCCAACTGGGCCAGGACTCCACCGACACCGATATTGGATGCATCGCATTGAATTATAAACGGTTTCTCAAAATTGGGTGTGACTAATAACGGTGCTGAGGTTAATCGATGTTTTACCTCTTCAAAGGCTTGTTGTGCATCCTCAGTCCATTGAAAAGACTTAACCTTCTTGGTCAGGTCTGTGAGTGGTGCTGTCAGGGATGCATAATTTTCTATAAATCGGCGATACCAACCCGCACATCCCAGAAACTTTCTGAGTTCTTTCACCGAACGAGGTGGGAGCAAATTTCTGATGGCGGAGACCTTTTCTGTATCTACCTTAATGCAACCTTTACCTATCACATAACCAAGATAACGAACTTCAGGAACACACCAGCGACATTTGTCTAAGTTCAACGTCAGGCCTGCATTTCTCAACACAGTGGACATTTCTGTCAACAGTCCAAGGTGATCCTCAAATGTTTCACTAACTAACAACAAATCATCAAGATAGACAAAGACTCTATTCTTGAAATGGGGTGGAATAATCATGTCCATTAATCGACACATTGTTTGTGCAGCGTTCGTAAGTCCAAAAGGCATGACTCTGAATCTATACAAAGGATGATTTGGTACAGTGAAGGCTGTTAGATCTCTACAAGATTCTTTCAGATTTATTTGCCAAAAGGCGTGCTTCAGATCTAAAGATGAAATAAATTCTGCTTTCGGTAATCTCGATAAAATACCATTTATCTTGGGTTGTGGATAAGCATCCTTTATCGTCACTAAGTTGACCTTGCGTGAATCTAGACACATACGAAATCTGCTACCCTTTTGTACTACTGAAACGGGACTACTCCAAGAACAAGTTGGCGGTGCTACTTATATGACTCCTAAACTAAGCATATCATCGATTTCCGCATGAATCCGTTTTTCCACAGCCGGGGATACTGAAAAATATCTCTGTTTTATTGGTTTTGCCGATTGAATGCTCTAACATGGACGTTTTCCCCAAGCCTTCCGTATTAAAATCTGGGAACAAAGCCACAACCTTTTCCATGCGTTGTTGTTGCTCGGCATTTAACGATTCTGGCAATTCAATCTCATTTACTGACAAAGTTTTCGCTAGTTTCTCCATCAGGCCAAAAGTATTCCAAAAATTCATTCCCAGATAAAGGTTTTGTTTCAAATCAGGAATTATATATAAGGTTAACAATCTGGTTTGATTCCTAAAGCTTACTTCAGTTTCAACGTAACCAAGAATGTTGTATTTTTGTCCTCCGGCTGTTTCAACTTGCGACTTGCTTGCAATATAGGGCCTATTCTTGCTTATAAATTCCTTTGCAGCTTCCCCACTAAGGCATGAAACTGATGCACCAGAATCTAATAATCCTCCATAAGTCTTACCAAATATATCTATTTCCACAAATGGTCTAATATCCTTTTTTATATCAACAATCGAATCTAGACTCAGCGATATACCCCTCATTCTATCTTTAACTTTTCTTATAAAGTTACGAAAACGAACGGTATTTCTCTTAGTTTGGACACAACTGGGTTTTTTAACTAAATCGCTACCAAATATTTTTTCTCTTATTTCTTCATAGTTTCGAAGTCTTATGTGATACGGGACTATTGGATATAATTTACCTCGAATATTTTTAGAATCTAAATATTTAGGAAATATATTGACTTTCGGACAGTAAGAAGAAGAATGCTCTTTATTTAATGTTGAGGATTTGAGCGGTAACTGCTGTTCTTGTTGCCGCTCAACCGTCGGATTTCCTGACAGGTTTCACAATTTGGTCTTATTATATTTTCAGCTCCGCAACCTAAACAAAATATCTTCTTATCAGATTGGCAATCTGCGTGTTTATGGCCAAACCTGCGACAATTCCAGCATTGAATCTCTTCTAAGGCTCTAGTTCTTTTTAGTTCGCAAATTTCTTGCTCTCCTAGATGGTTATCTGAACGTTCTTGGTCATATTCCAATGCATTAATTTGCTTTCGTGTGTTTGCTTTCAGGTTAGCGGTGTTATACTCCTCACTAAAAGCTTCTCGTCTAAGGACTAATTTTCTCAACTGGCTAACCGAATTGACTTCTATATAGAACAACTCCTTTCTCATAAACGGTCTCAGATTTCGTTTCAGAATTTACGTTAGTTGACTCTCGCTAATAGGGTATTGTAGTCGATCTACTAAATGCATAACTCCGTTATGAAATTCATCAAAACTTTCGCTGATTTGCTGCTTGCGATCTCTTATCAATTCTCTCACGTCATCGTCAGATAGCGGTTCAAGAAAATAGGAATTCAGCGACTTACAAAGATCGGACCAGATTACTCTGTCTGCAGTGCGTCTGTATCTCCAGAACCATTCACTTGCTCGGCCACTAAAGAGAATATGAATGTGTTCGCACAACACTTCAAAGTTTCCTCGTAAGCTATCATTTGTCAAAGCTGTAATCATGTATATGAACTTCCCTACCGGCATACCATTGCGTGAGCCATTATACTGCACTTTCCAGCTACTAATCAAATTTGCTACTTTTCCCACATCGCGACTTAGATTGAAACTACCATTTCTCTCCGGTAGATTGTTACTATTTCTATATTCATTGGGTATGAAGGTGGGTACGTCTCTTTCTAGATTAAGTGACGAAGCTCTAGTAGTTCTTCTTCCCCAATCAGGTTCATTGTTATTTCCATTATCATCTGCATTGGTATGGAAGTTAGGTATTGCATCCGTTCTTCCTGCCCTGTCTGTTGTTAACTTAGAAATTTGACGAGACAGTTCCGAGATCATGGACTGAATTTGACTAATTTGCGAAGTTATTCGATGATCTACCTGTGATAATATTCTCTGCTCTAAGAAACCTACATCTTGGTTTGGGTTATCCGCAGAAGCAGAATTAGACAATACGTTACTGTTATACTCGAGATCTACTATCTCATTTGATTGCTGCGACTGTCTCTTTTTCTTCTTTTGACTATTAGTTAACAGAATCCTCTCCAAACTATTTGTTTCCAGGTTCAGATTGTGGTCGGCAACATTTTCGGAAAGAACCTCTAATAAACTG